TTTCAATTGGAAAACGCTCATTTTAAATTACTGAACGACATCCATGGTTAAAAGTTTAGTGAAACTTGGATGACGGCCTGGACCCTGGATCTCATTCATTGAGTCAGTCGTTGAATTTCCCATGAAATCACGTGACCAATTTCAACAAAACATGAATTGAATTATCCGTAGGTAATTAGAATAAGGTTAATGATTTTGTTCCTGCAAGTCAATCATCATGACAGACATGGCTAAAACAAAACACAAGGGTAAAATTAGTATCTAGTATTTTGTTAACCATAATAAAATATCGAAAATAGCACTGGGAACAATCAAAATGTGAAGTTCTACCACTCCTATCCGTTTCCATACCCATTATCACACAACTCCTTATCGGAATTATTGCGATTTCCTATTAATTTTCATGTTTTTTTATGCCCTAAATCATCATTTTTTTACTTATTATAGTTGTGTGCTTTTTACTTTGAAAACTGTGATAGATAGACAGAAACTGTGAACAACAAAACTGATCAGCGCTAAAAGATTTACAAAAATATGCAAAAATAAAAAAAAAAAAAGACCAATACCACCGATTGAATACTTATATGGGTTATTGCAAATAAAAAGGAACTAGGGTGGTTTTGCCTATTATCTTGAAAATTATAAAGATGCGTATTTCTTTTACCAAATTAAATAATGTTATACTTACCTTGAAAAAAAACAAAAAAAAAACGTTGACTCCAAGTGCAAGATTAAAAAAAAAAAAATTGAGTTTGGACAAACAGTTTTTGAACGCAATAAATGTGCAATTACATATCAGAATGACAATGTTGACACGATAAGCAATTTATGTTCTAGGAAGCCTCTAGTTATAGATCTCTCTATTAGAAACATTATATGTGTGGAAGGGTCTCTGAAGTAGCAGGAGTGCTTCCCAAGTCTCGAACCCACCATGAAAAAGCAAAGGAGTAAACTCTTTATGATGTCTCTATTAATGACTTGCTGCCTTTTATACAAAACCCGTTAGGTATTCATCACATTCGCACGTAACTTTATTCATTACCCTTCCAAAACTTCATTCTTTGTTCAATTTATGTTTGGAAACCACTGTTACAAACCCTCATTCAAACCAATACAAACTTACAGCTATCATTTTGGATATTGCAAGTCACAGACATTTCGAACCAGTTCGCATTGGAAAAGATGAAAAAGAGGAAAGGTCTTTTTTGTCACTGATGAGTCTTTTGTAGACGCAACTCGCGTCTGGCACAAATTTAAAATTTCAATCCTGGTATCCATGATGAGTTTATTCTTAAGATTTCCTTTGCTAACAAAGGTCCCGATGCCGTCAACTTGGACAATATCCTTCATCATAAATTAGTTCAATCGAAACTACCTCCCTATTTTTAATATCAGTCTGTACCAATCATTTCTTATACCTATACTAAACCAATTGCAACTAAAAATTTTAATTACAAACACCTTTTGCAAGATCTCAATAATGTCGACTTCAAGTCTAAACCTCCTGAGTGCACCTGTGCTAGTTCCACATTCACATATAATCCGGCAGGCCACGTTATTACCGGTGACCCATAACAGATTTGTAACATTGTTGATAACACTTCCCTAAGAAATGTTTTATCCAAAGGTCCGAAATATCGTGTGCCTAAAGCCATCAATTTGAATCAAAACTTCAAAATAATGATGGATTCAGTCGAGGATTATACCAGGCATTAGGCTAAACGCAAGAAAGAAGACGTAGATACTCTTTCCGAATGGATTAAGGCTGTGAGGTCGTTGATACAAATCCGAATTAAGAAACTGAATGGGTCTTTAAAAACCCAAATGTTGCAAAACATTTGTCCTACCTCCATGACAGATAAAGAACCAACCAACATCGTTTTTGTGTGTAAATCTCATTACATAAACTGCTTGCTAAATTAATTAGGTATTGACAATTCACTTGGAAACTCAACATATACCCCCACGACACTTACTAGAGAGGAAATCCTAGATAATCATAGGTCTGATCTATGTTCCTTAGGAATTTCAACCAAAGATGACGACCTGGATCTTCCATCACTACTACATAAGTGTCCTTACAAACAACGGTATATTAATGGGTCTACCAAGAGCTCCAAGAAACCTCTTTCAAAATTATTAACATCAATTTTATCAGCATTCAAAGCCGGGCTTCAAAGTTATTGTGAAACTGCCTATTTTAGAGGTGGCGTGAAGCAATTGTGGATACTAAATAATTCACAATATCTTTTAGAGTACATACTATCTAAGACTCTTTCATCTTGCAATAGTATTTATAAACATTTGACTTTTCTACACTTTACTGAAGTATTCCCCATTCCAAACTAAAAGACAATTTGAACGAATTGGAATTGCTTTGTTTCATAAAAAAGAATGGCCAACGTAGATACAAGTATCTTGTCTTAGGGAGGGATACATTCTTCATATTTGTCACGTTTGGAGAACGTGTTTTTCAACAAACTATCGGCGTTTCCATGGTAACCAATTGTGCCCTTCTTCTTACCGACTTCTTCCTTTATTTTTATGAGGCTGACTTCATACAAGATCTTCTTAGGAAGAAAAAAAAAGAAGTTAGCAATATCCTTTCTCTTTACTTTCCGCTATATAGATGATGTTCTCTCACTAAATAATTCAAAATTTGGTGACTATGTTGAACGCATCTATCCGATCGAACTAGAGATAAAGGATACATCTAGAAATTGACAATGAGGGTCGGTTGAAAACAAAACTAAACGACAAAAGTGATAACTTCAGCTTCACAAACTTTCCATGTCTATGTAGCAACATTCCAACAGCGCCTGCATACGGAATATATATCTCCCAATTGACACGATATTCCCGTGCTTGTATTTCCTATCATGATTTCCTTGACAGAGGGTTACTGCTCAAAAGGAAGCTATTAAACCAAAAGTTCCAAATGGTGAAGTTGAAATCATCGCTTCGTAAATTTAACGTACGCCATTACGAGTTGGTTGACCGTTATGGAATATCCGTTCGACAGATGATATCGGATATTTTTCTTATGTCGTGACTACAATCCGTTCCCTTTCCACGAATGTGACCATCTTAATTAGACTATTTATCGGGTTTGTAATAACATGAACAACACAACGGGTGCCACATGTAGAGCAGGATCTGCTAACCCTTCCGGAGCACCTGAGATCACCCCAAGTTTTTGGTGGGGTTCGTGTTGCTAAGTCTTTAGTTTTCTATGTTGTGTCTTGTGTATTATTATTTGTCTGTTTTGTCTTTTTCTCTTTTTTAGTCATGGCGTTGTCAGTTTATTTTCGAGCTATGAGTTTGAATGTCCCTCTGGTATCTTTCGCCCCTCTTTTAAGCATGCATTATATTTGATTTGTAACGTGAGATTTAGTTTAATCATTTAATCTAGTTTTTTGGGATAATGATTTCGGCTGTAACCCCTGATGATCTATAACTGATTTTGTGTCAAGGCATACTATATGAATCTTAGCATCTTAAAGCTGCGGACATTTTTGAATCATAAGCTACGGTCAGGGATTTTCTCAAGATTTACTTGCCCAAAATATCAAAAAGCATATTGAAATTATATAATGTATTCGAATAAGTTATTTGTTTTATCAAGCATGAAGCTTTTTGAAATAGATTCTATTGTGATAATGTTGAAATCAAATTGCCATTTTTTTAAGAGTGAACACTGTCCTTTTGTTAACGTTGTTTTCTGTAATATTCTCAGTATAGGATATTTATTTGCAAATATACAATAAAGGTTCGACTCCCGGTGGCGTGGTACAATCAATAAAAGAGAATACTCTTCTCTCAGTTGTAAATAAAATACGGTACAATCTTATTTTATCAGACATGTGCAATGTACTGGTACAGACTCATGTGAAACCAAAGGGACATTTAAGCTCATAAGTCAAATATAATCTGACAACACAATGCAATGGCAAAAAATGAAAAACCCAAAAGGCAAACAACATCATACAAAACACTATATAGAAAAGACTGAGCAACGCAAACCCCAGCAAAATCCGTGAATGTTCTCAGGTGCTCATGGAGGGTACGCATACCCTGCTCCACATTTTATAAAATAATAGATTGCTTAATTGTTGTTTCCGTTGCGTCTAGTGACATGTGATAATAATACACCTCAATTGTATATTATAACTAACACCTAAATGGATGTCATTTTTGATATTTTTATGTTGATAATTACTTGATACATTTTTAAAAAGTTCCTTCGGTTATCTTGTTAATAAATCGGAGCAATGTCTTCTAGTTTCATCATTTACAAGCAAAAGCCAAAAAGTTTCAGATGAAGCATAAAAGGATGGAATACGAAGAAAACATTAAACAATCTAAATCTATTTTTTCCACTTCTTATTGATGTTTCCGTGCATTGTGCTTATCATTACAATTAAAAAAAAAACATCCCCCAAAAATGTGAGGAGCTATACATGATCCTACAAAAGATAAAGAGAAAGTTGAACACAAGTTGTTTTGAATGTGTACATATATTTAAAATTTAAAAGAAAGAAGAACAAAATTGTTAAATGTTTATTGTATTTATTTTAAAGGAAAACTTGAATTTACAAATTCTCCAATTCTATATAAAAACATTATAATGAGTGCAATAAGGAAAATATGGGGTTGATAGCAATAAATTTCAACAAAATGATAAAAAATAGATATATTGATTTTAAGTCTTCAACAATACACAAGTTTTCAATGAGACACCAGATTACAATTTTGTTCTCCAGTCGTGGGTTTTGTCTACATAATGCTTACCCGTGACGCAACACGAACCCCACCAAAAACTGAGGGTGATCTCAGGTGCTCCGGAAGGGTAAGCAGATCCTGTTCCACATGTGGTACCCGTCGTTTTATTCATGTTAGTACATAAAATGATTTAACGTTTATTCACAGCATTAATAAAACATTTTGCAAATTATAACATTGTTTGGAAAATTTATATATATTTAGTATTTTTTATAACGTTTGAAAGATAGGATGGAAGTAGTTCAGCGCTATACTTATCAGTGTCATTTGGATATATATATCCGCCGTTGAATATTCAACCATTAATTCAATATTTAAATTTTCATTTAAAATATAAAAAATGTTTCATTCAACTTTGAATCAGTATACCAAATCCAGTTCAACTTTGATTTAATGTATACACATATTGGTAGACTATTTAAATGTTAATTCATTATTTCCATTCTATTCACTTTTGAAACATGTTCAAATAAAACTCTATTATTAAACCGTGTGTTAACCACAGGTATCCTCATGTGATTTTGCAGCAACATTACATAGTAAGTGTATATATCATGTTATAACTGTGTGTTCGTTTTATTTATCTGAAAGCAGCTTAGATTAATATTGTGATATAGTTGGAGTTAAATTGTTGACAGGGACATTGTCTTTTATGTTTATTTTGCAGTACTTGCTAGGACTGGTATTGTATCACTACTTAAAAGTTATCAAATAATATTCGTCACACTCAGTATTTTCATTGTTTGTTTTATTTATTAGAAAACAGCTTATTTATGAAGGTTGATATTATTACATAGCTGCTGTACAAATTGTTGACAAGGACATTGTCTTTATGTTTATTTTGCAGTACTTGCTAGAGCTGGTATTGTATCATTACTTATAACTTTTTAAATATTATTCAACACATTCAGTATTTTAGCTATTTGTTTGTTTTATTATTATAAACGCATCTTTTTATTGAAGGTTAATATTGTAATAAAGTTGCTGTAAAAATTGTTAACAAGGACATAGCTGTAATATGTATTTTGCAGTACTATTTTCGGCTGGTATTGTATCACTTCTTAGAACTGCTCAAATATTATTTGTCACATTCAGTATTTTCATTGTTAGTTTAGACATAGATTCAGCGTCAACTAAGATAGCTAATATATCAAATTGTACAATTGGTTTTAGCATAAATCTCTTTTAAACAACAGTGATGACTGTGGTTTTCCATACGGGTATGCATTAGACTCATCTTTTCTATTTGTTGCCTAGTACTTGGCCTTTTTTATTTAATTACATCTTTCCTGGTGGCTTAGTTGACCCCTTCCCAGGCCAATCAATTGTGTTCTTAATGTAATGTCGTTTCATGTTTTTCATTAATTATTATCTTGTTGTACAAATGTATATTGTTTATTTGTTTATTTTTATAATATACACAGACATATATATGAGACACATTTTTTACTCTAAATAAATATACATTTTGCAATTCACCTTCTCGTTTCTCTATTCATTTATCGGCATTGGCTAATGAAATGTAGAATACATGAGCTACTTGCTGATGGTAGTTCGGGTTTGAAGGAAGGAAGCATAAGTCGTGTATATGAAAATGGTCATCTATAGGTTTACGATTTGCATTCTGCAATTCTGGTACGTTGACATTATGGTCGTAATATAATAACTGTCCATCATGTTACAGTTCCCTTCTCTATTGTGGTGTGACATTCACTAGGTGTGTTCAATATCAATTTCAATAATCATTTCTGCAAAATAAAGTAAATCATCACGGTACTGAAAAGAAAGTTGATAACCTTAGCTGTATTTGGCAAAACGTTTAGGAATTCTTGGTCCTCAATGCTCTTCAATTTCGTACTTTATTTGCCTTTTTAACTTTTTTTATTGGAACGTCACTGATGAGTCTTTTGTAGACGAAACGCGCGTCTGGCGCAAATACAAAATTTCAATCCTGGTATCTATGATGAGTTTATTTTCAACCGTTCAATTTTCCCTTATCAAACCACTTTAGCAATGCATAAAATCTCCTTCATGCAATATATTGCGATTGAGTACAATTTTTTGTAATAGTTCGGAAAATGGTATCGACAAATAAAGGCAACAGTAGTATACCGCTGTTCAAAATTCATAAATCGATTGAAAAAACAAATCAGGGTTACAAGCCTAAACTGGGAGAAACACATCAACTATAAATAAGAGGAAAACAAGGGAACAACAGAAACACTGCAGTGCAACAAAAACAAACGCCAACATACATAGAAATGAACTATTTGATAACAACTGCTATATTCCTGACTTGGTACATGACATTTTAAGAAACAAGGGTGATTTGAACCTGGTTTCATGGGTAGCCAAACCTCCCACTTATATGACAATGTTAAAACATATCGCTAAAATAACAACACTACATGACAGAAATACATCATAAACACACGCAAGAATACACTCATAATAATAAAATACTGTAAAAGCAGAAGTTTTCGTGGAGGACTTAATTTCGTTTATTTCGTGGAAAGTATATATCCACGAAATTAAAACCCCCTTGAAAATTTAACCTAAATATAAGATCACTTCCAAATACTAGAAACCACGAAATTAAATCCCCATGAAATCTTATATAGAGACAAAACCACGAAATTTTAACCCCACGAAAATTAATGTTTCTACAGTAGTCGACACAACATGCAAACCGCAGAACAACAACGAAACGAGTGCAATTTTTGTATCTTTAGGTTAATTTTGTAAACATTTAATAAAAGACACTTCCGTCAACGATTTCAATGTTTTCTGTGTTTCCATTAAGGATAAGACAGAACTTCATAAAATTGAGAATGGAAATGGGGAATGTGTCAAAGAGACAACAACCCGACCATAGAGCAGACAACAGCCGAAGGCCACCAATGGGTCTTTAATGCAGCGAGAAACTCCCCCACCCGGAGGCGTCCTTCAGCTGGCCCCTAAACAAATATGTATACTAGTTCAGTGATAATGGACGTCATACTAAACTGCAAATTATACACAAGAAACTAAAATTAAAAATGATACAAGACTAACAAAGGCCAGAGGCTCCTGACTTGGGACAGGCGCAAAAATGCGGCGGGGTTAAACATGTTTTTTGAGATCTCAACCCTCCCCCTATACCTCTACCCAATGTAGAAAAAACAAACGTACAACAGTACGCACAGTAAAACTCAGTTTAAGAGAAGTCCGAGTCCGATGTCAGAATAGGAAACACAAGAAAATAAACAAAATGACAATAATACATAAATAACAACAGACTACTAGCAGTTACTGACATGCCAGCTCCAGATCTCAATTAAACTGATTGAAAGATTATGTCTTCATCATATGAATATCAGGCATCATCCCTCCTGTTAGGGGTTTAGTCATGCAACAACTGGTTTTAGAATAAATATGTTTAATTCCGATGCAAAGACCCTATAAATGAATCAATATTAAAGCCAAAATATGCAATCTTTAATGACCTGACAACAGTATCGTAACTATATCCCTTCTTAATAAGTCTGTTTAAAGGTTTTGTTAGCTTTTGAGGTGAATACTGACATTTTTGTGCTGTGTAAAGAATATTACCATAAAAGATTGGATGTGAAATACCCGAACGTATAAGATGTCTGCATGTTTAGTTATATTTACGAATGATGTCCTTATACCGATGATAAAACTTAGTAAATGTTTTGACTAGTTTATGATATCGAAAACCCTGGTGTAATAATTTTTCAGTAATACATAAATTTCACTCGCTAAAATCTTCATACATTCATCTAGGCTTTCTAATACAGGAGAATGTAACTGTCAACATTTATTTTCTGACTCTTATGGGTCAATCGTTATTAACATAGTTCATTAAAATCTAATTGCACTTCAAAATATACTATTCTTCATCATTTGAATTTGAGTTATATACACCACCTATGTATCCGTATAATATTTAGTCCGTGTAAAATTAACATATTCTCGTCTGACAAAACAGATAACTATCTAGGTATGACATAAGTTTTCGTAATTACATTTGTTTAAGGAGGTGAATTTTCTATCTGTTTAATGTGTTTTTATAACATCTAAAACTTTCATGTAATTTAGATGAAATATTTTATTAAATTAAAAAGAAAAATATTGTATAAAGGAGCTGAAATGAACGTACATTATTGACACAAATTTGATCTTTGTTTTTTTTCAGTGTCTATCTATATAAAAGAGAGGCAGATGTGTCAAAGGAATAACCTTTATAAGTGAAAAACTAACTGTGAATACAAATGTTTTGTTTTTGGGTTTAGTTTACAGTTCTACGATTTAAACAAACATTGGAAAACATGAAGAAATATGTTGTGTGACTGAGGAGAATCATGTACAATGTAAATGATATGTCATTTATATATATCTAGACAATCTTAATTTTGTATCATACATAGTAAAATCCTTTTTCCCCTACACTTTTTACTTGTTGGTTTGTTATGTTGATCAAACCTCTTTAAAGGTCAACTATTATAATAGTTTGTATTTCGTACTTAAATGTGAATACTTCAACACTTAAGGGAAAGCGCCCCTTGTCAAGTACATTTCTTGCAAATTAATAAATCTAAGAGAAACGTTTTGTATGTAATTGCAACTGTTATTATATACAGTTGGAAACCTCAAGAATCTCAAAAATTTAAATATTCAAGTATGGTAAAGAACACACCAGGAACAACTGATATCAAATGCAAAAAATATTAAAATGAATTGAAAAAGGGTCTTCCCGAAATGTTATTTACTTGTGTTAAATGAAGAACTGTATTTAATAATATCCCATTTCCCCTATAAATCAATCTGAAATGAAAAGCAGCCGAATACTATTTCATGAAATTTGAACATCAAATTAAATTTTCTCTGCTTTACAACCTGATCATAATCTATATGTCGAATTTATACAATAAAGTTATGCATCTCGAATTCTTAAGAAAACATTTCAGTTTAACTGAATGAGGAATAGACGTTATGTGGTGTAAATGCGGGCATATTTGACAAACCTTCATGAAATATCTAATAGCAAAACATGTGTCACATATGATTTCAACATTTTTAATTAATTATGTAATTTTGCATGATTGAAAGATATCTTGTCTTTAGGGAATTTTAATATGAGTAAGAAATGTCATATTTACAATGTAAGCATATCTAGATTTCATGACATACATTGACAAGGAACAGCAAAAGCCCGTTTACTCTACATTAACTACTTTTAAGAAGATCTTACTAACTACATTTATATACAAATATCAGTTTCATAGAAATCTGACCCATTATGGAAAACTTACCCGTGATTTTGTTTTCAACAGCTTTAACTTCCTCTGCAGAAATATTTTTGGCAACGATTTCGTTAAACTGCTCTGTATACAGCCTGGTTGGTTTGTTATGATAATCAACCCGTTTTAGTAATTCAACTATTATGTCATATAAGTCGTTAAAGCGTTTATCATCGAGCATAAATGTCTTGCAATGTTGCAGTTCATTTCTTGTATTTCTTATGCGCTCAATATCATCTCCAACAGCTATGTTTGAAGACTGAATATCTTGCCATGTGCCTCCCCATCCAATACTTGGTTCATGTTTATTAATTCTTCTGTGCTCTTTGTACAAATATGTTATATCACAATCACTCCTAAGACGATGGATTGTTTTATCTTGTTTCAAAAGATCATATAAAACATCAATTAAAATATTCAGCAAAATCATCCCCATTTTGGCATAGTTGATCTCCTCCTTCGTGAACTGAAAATAAGTTATATATAAATCACGTCTTTTGCGAATTAACGTATTTAATTCTCGAAAAGCTCATCTTGGAGTGGATAAAATATGTTAATGAGTAAGGCATATCTATATATGATTTGTAACATTAATGGGCTATGACACATGTCAAAGGTTAAATGCTAACCAATAAAACTTTACTTTTCAATATGTCAATCAAATAGTGGCGTGATACTATATTTGATTTTCAGAAAATGAACACATGCAGCAGATGACAATTGGATTCAGACTCGATAGCCATTTATGTGTTCTTGAAATGTTTGTTCTCCCTGAGATTGTCAATTGTCATGTGTTTAGTATTTTTTATAATTACTAAGAGTCCGTTCTTATTATTGTATTTTGGTTTTCAGGACTCTGATGTAGATTACTTTTTATACTTTGTGCCAAGTTCCTTATTTCCTGGAGAACTCGCTCTAAAATGGTAGGCGCATAATTTGTAGTTTTTGTATTAGTTTATACATAGAAATAATATTAAGTCATGGATTATTTCCTTTGACGATTTGCGTGTTTTTATCAAATCAGTTGTTTAGAATTTATATGTCGATATTTAGACATAGTAAATACTTTTTGAAAGTTGTAATATTGGTAAAGTTTAATTGTAAACTTTCATGTACTTGCGAGAAGTAATTTTAATACATTTTATTCTATTTGGTTGTAAACGCAATAAAACTGCTAAGCGTTATATTTAAATATCGGTCACAGAAACCGGTTTATTAAAGCACATGTGACATGTGATGTGCATTTCACTACACAATTGAATGAATGAACATTCCATAGTAAATGTGTATCTACTGTTTATAGTAACACTATTATATTAGAAGTTGTTTAAACTGAATTAAGATTGTCTGTGATATAATATGTGTATAATATATTCTATGTTACATGAACTATCATTAATGTTTATAATTTTGTTATTTCAGAGTTTTTATTCTCATATTTTCATTTTTTCTGAAATGTGGATTTTTGTGAAATTATCAAATTTTGTCGTGTGTTTTTCAGAAAAGTGCAAATGTGTACAGCATACTTAACATTGTAGTTATTTTAGTTTTTCATCTGATAATCAATTTATGAGTGGTTGCCATGATAACGGACACTCTATTTTTTTTTGGTAGTTAAGCGTAGTAAAACCTTTAAAAAATGAGCTAAATCACTACAATTCAGAGCCTAATTTTGAATAGAATCAAACTTTAGTCAGGAATTTTCATATATAACATTGATATAACTTGGTTAAAGCTTCACTTTAGATAAGATTGCAGTTCAACCCAACTTTTAAATTTTTTGTTAAAATACACTTAAAACACATATTTTTAATTTTTCTGAATCATGGAGTTTTGTGAGATTATCAAATTTTTTCGAGTGTTTTTCCGAAAAGTGCAAATATGTTAAGCATAGCTAGCATTATAGTACCTAAGTTTGAATACTACTTTACAAAAATAAATAAAATATTGCATGGGACTCTCTTTAATTTTATCACCATAATAACGTATTTTCCCCTTGGAAACAGAGTTATTATTTGTAGTATAGGGACTTCAATGTTCTCAACTGTTTCCAAACCTTTAGGAAAATACATAGAAGCATATATATACTCTAATTCTAAACTACCATCGTTAAGTATTGTTAACAATAGTTGCCATTGTAACAAATATCACCCATAACAACATCCAATCAAAAGATATATTATATAATTTTATGTAAAAAATTACATATAATTATGTAAATAATGTTCAGTTTTCTAATGGAAATATAACGGCATGCTATGCTTTGTTTCCCTCCAGTCCTGTCTTTTCTCCTTGAGAAGGTTCAACAAACTTGAATATATACAATGTGGCATTTTGGGGGAGGGGAGGAGGATGGGTAGTTTTTGTTTAAAGCTTTCATTGATCCTTATAAGGAAAGTTGAGAGGTTTAGCTAGCTATAAAACCAGGTTTAATCTACCATTTTCTACAAAAAGAAAATGCCTGTACAAAGTCAGGAATATATGACAGTTGTTATCCATTCGTTTTATGTGTTTGAGCTTTTGATTTTGCCATTTGCTTAGGAACTTTCCGTTTAGAATTTTCCTCAGTGTTCGGTATATTTAAGAAATAATTCATGGCAGCCGTAGATTTGTATTCATTTAACCATGGGTTGGGCATTTATATTCGATTATTGTACCCTGCGTGTTAGTGAGGGGTAAAATACGAATATAAAAGCCCAACCCATGGTTAAATGAAAACAAATCTACGGCTGCCATAAATTATTTCGATTCTAATAGGACAAATTCGGTAATTTTGTTAACCGTGAAAGCCCTATACATACGATACTGTTTTGGCTGTTCCGTTTTACCCAATTTTGATAATATAAGTAATATTATATAATTCAATGATTATTTTTCTAATCGCATTTTTCACTTATATATTTTCTTCCAATCTAATTTTATTCGTTCTGAGGCGTACAAAAAGCTTTAAAACTCCCGGTATTTACATTTGATTTTTTGTTTACGGAAACATATTTGTGACGTCACCTTGTTTCGTTGCCATGTCGAGACAATAACATCATTTCGCGGAATTTTCGTTTTATGAAATTTTACCATGAAAAATAAATTGAAATGGACTGATTTGTTTATTTTGCTGTAGAATAGAGATAAATATATTGTATCTTAAGCTTGGCCTTCGTAAACTGGGGATTTTGATGTCGAAAATTGAGAATATCTGGCAGTATAAATAAGTTGGTCGTAACGCGGAACAGCCGTTTATGTGTATAGGTATAAGAAGATGTGGTATGAGTGCCAACGAGACAACTCTCCATCCAAGTCAAAGTTTATACAAGTAAACCATTATAGTTTATGTGTATGACTGCGTTTGCGCTAAAGGTAGATATATTGTGATTATACTGGTTGACGATAATAGGTCGTCATATTAAAATTTTTATTTTACTTTTTGCTACAACATTTGGTTATGTTTTGTTCAGAGTTTTCAATCTGGTAAATAATTATTCATGAAACAGATGATGGACTTCATTGGGTTTGCAAAGCCCATTCTAGCTTTTGTCAAGGTCCATAATATTAGTGAAAGTAGTGCTCTGGCAATATGACGTCCTTTACCACTTGTAAGAAATTAAGAAATTTTGGCAAAATTCTCAATTTCCTAGCGCAATAACTCTCACAAATTTAATAACAACAAGAGACTCAACTTGAAATCTCACTTATAAATATAAGCTTACAAACCAAATTAAAAATAGAAACATCTCAAACTGAAACTTTAGTGACAAGGATAGACAGATGGACAGACAGACCAAAAGAAAACTTATAAAGTCATGGTGTTCAAGAACACTTAACACATAACATAGGTCAAATCTCTTTGTTCTTATTGTGCTACAATCTGGATAATGCACATATAAGGTATGCATTAACGACCTCCGATATACTGCACAGTTCAAGTTCAAAAGTATTCTTACCTTTAGGGGCGGATCCTGGATTTTGAAAGGGGTGTAGTTCCATAAAATTAAAAAAATATCACCGAGTGTAGCGAGACTAAAAACAAATTTTGATGATTTTAGTGTCAAAATATGAAATAGAAAGTGTTCTCATTCCTTAAACTAGGACAAACAATATTTCATGATATCATGGTAAATGGGTAGCGTCATGTGTTAAAACAGTTATTGGCCAATCGAATCGGTATATACTATTTTCTATGCATGGTTTGGAAGACCCTTTAACCCGAACTCCTTTAAAGATACAGAGTGATTGACAGAATGGAACAGTAATTGACATTATAGGAGAAAAGGTGAGATATTTGCTTTTGCTGCGTTAGTTTAGAAAATAAAATAGAACATGAAAAGATGAACATATTATATGGTATGTATTAGAGGAAAAGAAAGGGCTCCAGAAGGGTTATCCTAAGATCGAATGGTCACTTTCAGAAATTTTTTCAGTTAACCAGGTCATTTTAGGCAAACTATACAGTTCTAAACTGATCTGGTTTTCGGTTTTAAACATTTCTAAAGTATCAAACAAAGCAAAGTAAAGCAAAACGGGCATAACTCGGGTTAAAGTGTCGCCACCAAAATTCAAACTTGACCTCTGTTTTGTGGTAATAAGCATTGTGTATATGTTTCATAACATTTGGTTGGACAAACTAAAGTTAGAAAATGGAAACCAACTTTGGGACGTACTAACATACAGACTGACAAGGGTAAAACGTACTCCCCCTCCCCCCTTCATTGCGGCACGGGCATAAAAAGCCTTTATTTTAGTTATTGCCCTTGTACCTTGGATAGATAAAATATGTGCAACGCAGGGGACATTGGATATTTGTTCTTTTATTAGGTTTTGTTTTCATGAACGATTACAGCTTGATGGGACTAGAAAGCATTAACAATTACAAAGCAATTTAAGATTGGTATGTACTGCGCTGTTTCTAGTGTTGCAGTTAAGAAATAAGACCATGTTTGTAATTTGTCGTCGAATAAACTGTTAATTTTGTATTTATGCACACCTTCTCAGCTTAGTGGTTTGATTCCAAATCTCGAGATTAATTCACAGTCTTTTATAAAGGTTACAGAGACGGATATACGGTCAAGAACTCAAAAATGCTTTCAGTAGGTCTAATGAAACTTTGATGAATAGTTTATATCTATTGACGTAAGTTCCATTTCAGTTTTTATAAATTTTTACGTTTCCGAGTAATGGGGTTTTATATTCATTAGAAAAGGGGGGATTTTCCAGTATTCGGACAATAACACAAAAATGCTTTCAGCAGTTCTCATGAAACTTTGGTGAATTGTTTATATCTAAAGACGTAAGCTCTCTTTCGATTTTTATAAATTTCTGATATGATAAGTAATTGAACTTTATTCTTTGAAAATGCGACGGGCGTATCATGCGCTCATGGCGCAGCTGTTTATTACATGTTTACTATCAAAAAGTAGAGGAGGGGGATTTCAAAAGGATTGTGCTTTAGCTAAATCCCCTCCTCCCCCGCAAAAAAAGATCTAATGTTACCGGAATCATGAAATTATGAGATATATGTAGTACGGTGCATAGTTAAGAATGATGCACAATTTATATATTAATCATTTTGTACAATCACTTTGTTTTGATACATTTTTGCCGTTAATAGCATAATTATTTTACCGGGATTAGCACAATTCTAACTTAGCAGATGTATCTATTGGGCTATCTCGCAGATCCAGAATTCCAATTGCGGAATAGTAGTACAACACGAGTTATTAATGATATGTTAATAGCTATATATCAACAGAATTCAATCACTGGACTTCTTATATCAACGATCTCCAATTGACTATTCATTTTTTTAAGTCCCTTCCGACTTAATATATGTTCAATTGGTCTGTCCGTCTATCCGTCCGTCCTTCATACTTCAGTTTCAGTTTGGAAATGATTTCGCCAATTGATTCTATTTTTGGTTTGTAAGCTTATTATTATGTTACAGGTCAAGTTTGTGATTTTTGCTGGTGGGATAACATCTCAGGCTTGTGTGTGCCCTGAGAAATTAAGAATTTTCTTACAACTGGTAAGGGACAATATTTATCTTGCCTTACTATAAACCAGGTTGGGCTATTGCATTCCCATGAAGTTCTTCATTTGTTAAACTTTCATAACTTGTTTATTAGATGAAGAACTCTGAACAAAATCCGACCAAACGTTGCAACAGTTATCTTTTCAAGGATCTACATGTATTAAAAATTAAACATACCTCCCCCTTTTTTCCCATCCCTCCAACCATAATGTTACATTATATATTACATTTTTTTAACCTTCTGAAAAAGAAAAGACAAGATGGTGAGTGAAGCAAAGCATGCAATCATATTCCAATTCGAAAATAAACACACTCTATATATGTATTTTTTTACATAAATTTCCATTTATACATCTTTTGAATGGATGTTGCTATGGATTATATTTGTTTCCATGGTAACTATTGAGGTCAGCAACACTTAACGATGGTTTCGTAGAGTTAGCCTATGCTTTTATGTATTTTCTTATCGGTAATGAAGCAATTAAGGACATTTAAGTTCTTAAACTGCAATATTCTGCAAATTATAACTCCGTTTCCAAGGCAAAAATGGGTTGCTATGGTGACAAAATTAAAGAGAGTCCCACACATTATTTTATCTAAATTGGTAAAATAGTATTCAAACTTAATAACTACAATGCTAACTATGCTGTACACGTTTGCACTTTTCTTAAACACACACGACAAAATTTGATAATTTCACAAAAAACCACAATTCAGAAAAGTTGAAAATATGCATTTTTTGGTAAATTTTTACAAAAAAATCACAAATTTGGTTGACATGCAATCTTAACTGAAATGAAGCTTAAACCAAGTTATATCAATGTTATATATGAAAATTTATAAAAATAGTATAATACTATTCATAATCAGGCTCTGAATTGTAGTGATTTAGCTGATTTTTGAAAGATTTTACCACGCTTATCTACCAAAAAATAGAGTGTCTGTTACCATGGCAACCTCTAATATTTTCCCACTCAAATTTAATTTTTTGCGCATTATTCATTTACTGCTTCTATCAGGCAATTTATAGAAAAAATCTGAAACCCTCATATATCACACTCTGCCTGGTTCTTATAAAAAGCTGTACTTAATTTCAATGTGTTTGTACATACCTTTCTCTATGATAACTCTTCTTCCAAATTCTAAAATCTGAACCAGAATAACATTTGGGCATGTCGTTATGTAATTTTGTTGTTTTCTTTAATTCAAAGACAGCTGTTCCTCTAAAAAGAGCAATAACGCTTTGCGTGGTATTTCTTCTTTCTTCATTTTCAGTGACACTTACCTCTGCTACTTCATACTCCCGGCACAGTGAAGCAATCAAGTGATTCATTAAATGTGGTGGCAAAAATCTAAACTTAAAACATAACCAAGTAGATTTTTTACATGTTTTTTCTGTCACATTAAACATTTTGTGTATGTAACACTCAGGTTCTGATTTAATCATACAAGGTACATAGTAGCAAGTTTTTTCAATTGCAGAATATTTCTCTGATTGAATTGGACGTATAATGATATCAAATTTCTCCATAACATTCAGAATATGGTCCTTGTGTTTGTACAAAATGTTTTGTTCTTTGAAAATATCTTCTAAAATTTCCATATACAATTTCCCTGTACTGTGGAACTCCTCCCAACGTTTTTGATTCTTGATACTAATAGATCGAAATTACTTTGCTATTACTATGCACTTGAAAGCATCGGACAACCAATGTGTATCTAAAATAATATAATCTGGGAGATCTTTAAGTAAACCAAATCTCTAATTTCATGATGAAATTTCAAATACAATATTAGTTCTTCATCATTCAATGGCTTGGGTGTTTCTGTTGAGATAAACTTAAGTTCACGAAAGGCAACTATTGGCAACTCTTTTTTCTTCTCTTGAAGACGTTTTTCCAGCTGAATAAATTTTAACGGATATTCTTTATTCCATGTTCTGTTTTTTTTTTGGCTAACTTTAATATATCTTGTCGTATTTTCTGAAATACACTGTTATCATCTTCTGTGTTAGAAATGAAAAATTTATCCCTTATATGTCCGCGCTCATCATCTGCCATATTTCTAGTATATGCTAAAAGATTTTCTCGACATGCATCTTCAACCTGAAAAAAATTATGAAATACTTGTAAGTTTGCTTAGTGTGTTCAATATGAATTGTTGAAGTATTCTTGGCAAATTCTTTTAAAAACATGTTAATAATGATAATCATATTGTCATTTTATTTCATTTGACAGAAATCTTTGCACAGTGTTAATTGGTTGAGAAGCGACACATTAATGTGTAAATGTTCTATACCATGTATGCATCTGCTGATTCTGAGGTGCAAGCATCTTTCCAAGTACCAACAATAACCACAGATGGATCAAGATCATCCAAAAATGTCATGTTGTCATCATATTTATTTTTCTCCTCTTCAATTCTACCATAACAATGTATTGAGTCCATCCATAATCGAAATAAATCTACAAAGTATTAGTACAATATTTTACACCAGGTTTATTTAATCATGTTAATTGCATCGAAAACTTTAATTTGTATTATTTGTATTACGTGCAGACAACGGTATCTGTATTAAGTGCAGACAGCGGTATCAAGCTTAAAGAATACGATGTGTTCTCTATATACAATTTAGAATGTTCAATATACAGTTGAAATCATGTTTGCTAATTCAAACATTATTATTGCTCGATGTTGCTTTATTTCAACTATGATGATGATGATGATGATGATGATGATGCAATTTTAAGCAACATAAAACTCCTTATAATGTGTACCTTTGACAAAACTATTCAAAGATACCAGGCTTATAATTTTTTAATCCAGACGAACGTTTCGTCTACAAAAACATCATCCGCGATGCTATTAATAACGTTTAAAGAATAAATTTAAATTGAAAAGCATTTACATCCCCAAATTTTAAAAGGTTTTGCCAAACAAAGATAAGGAAATCTATTCCTGGGGTAGAAAATCATAAGTATTTAAACATTCAAAGAATATTATATAGTACATCCCTCTCAGGTTTTGACATTTCACTTAGATACAATCCGGTAATTACTAATTGGATAATCTTAAATGCGTATAACATATATAATTATGTTTCTTTGAAGAATTGTCACCTTCTAAATAACTTATTATGAATGCGTCCTTTCAAACAAAGCTGTAATAATGGGTCAGTAAAAAATATTTGAATGTCCCCATTATTACCTTTCTTTTGTTTTTTTTTTGCATATTACAAGAGTAATTAATTGTGTATATAGACTTAATTTCTCTCAGTGGAAACACTATTCCGGCATAGCTTGTATTTCATTTAGTTATTTGTATAAAGATCTTCTGCTTGAAAGGAAGCTTTTGAACCAATTGAAAAGGAGTGTTGAAATAAATTTGGAACACTTTATGAATTGGCTTAATGTTACAGAGTATCTATATCAAATAATACATTGTATAATCTCAGTTTCAAACATAGCACTCTGAACCTTTTTAGTTCTCCACTATTTTCAGACTATAAAAAATAGTTCATTACCTTGTGCCTCTTTGTCGAAAGCCTCATTGAGTTTTGTAACAACAATATAAATTGCATCTGGAGACAAAAAAGTTTGATGTATGTGGTAAAATTCTTCATCTCCAGCAAAATCCCATAATAATAATGTGGCATACTCCTCTTTGTCATGAAGATTCACTTCAGACTTGAGCATGTTTTCAACATCTCTATGTGCTTGTTTTAATGAAAGGTTTGGCTGATGCTTATGATAAATATCAGTGTCAAATGGAACATCAAGTGGTTCAGTGGTAATAGAAGATTTCACTTGAACTTTAGTGGCGTCAGAAGGTTTAACATGAGGTTCAGAGGCTACATGAGGTTTGATGTCACAATTAGTGATTAAAGGAGGTTTTGGTTTTTCAGGCTGCAGAGATGCTGTTTCCTCTGATTCATCTAAACTTGTTGCAGATGCGTTCATAAATGTTTTGGAAACTTCTGCTTCTACTGACATTGTGACTGATGCTTTATTGGTTCCTTTACCTTGGTCAACAAGGGTTTCCTCGTATGGTTTTAATAGTCTTGCATTCAGCTCAGTTTCTTGATTGTTGGCTATTATTAGAAAATAAAAGTACTATATTCATTTTTTTCTCCTTATATTTTGTTTAAAAATATGACAAATGTCAATAAGATTGACGTATGTTTTAAAGTACAAACATTATGTGCAAGAACCAAATCAAACAATGTCGTACTATCATAGGGTCAAAAGAAAGGTCAGATTGGCCTACATTTGGTAAATATATATGACAGCCCATGATGTCACTTAATATAAAGATTGGTAAAACTCACTTGTATGGCTCGAACGTTATAAGCTTAGGACATGATTTGGAAAAGGATATACTTAAACATGTGTAATGGAGTCAAATGTGAGAGACAAAGTCAGAGTGACATGACTTCGGTATATTACACATCCCTGGTCCATAATGAATATGCGTACAAAGTTTCATAAAGTTATCTATATATATAAAACTAAGTTCAATGGTACTTAAGTTTTACAGCTAACACGGTGATTGATGTATACTCCACAAATTTAGTTTGCAGTCGTTATAAAATAAGTATGAATCTGCAAAATTCAAACAACTAGACATTACAACTAAGATATACTACGAACAGTTTGCAGATACTCATCACACTTTGTACCTTTGAACAGATGGCTTGAAAGTGTATGTCACTGAGATCCTATTTTTGTCAACATTATTAATTTCATTCAAAATTGACTTCTAGTATCGTAAAATTAACAAATTTTTAACACAAATTATTATTTTAAATGTCAACATGTGTTATCAATTTAATAGATCAATAATTAATTGAATATTAATAAAGATTGTGATAAATTTGAAACCATGAATTTGTTTTAGTAGTTTTCTAATGCATTAGCTGTTGTTAAATAAGTCTTGGTATGAACATTTACACTCGGTCCCAACTGAAACATGTGGTCTATTAAGACCTATAAAAAAGAAGATGTGGTATGATTGCCCATGAGACAACTCTCCACAAGAGACCAAATGACACAGAAATAATTAACAACTATAGGTCACCGTACGGCCTTCAACAATGAGCAAAGCCCATACCGCACAGTCAGCTATAAAAGGCCCCGAAATGACAATGTAAAACAATTCAAACGAGTAAACTAATAGCCTAATTTATGTACAAAAAATGAACGAAAGACAAATATGTAACACATAAACAAACGACAACCACTGAAATACAGGCTCCTGACTTGGGACAGGCACACACATACAGAATGTGGCGGGTTTAAACATGTTAGCGGGATCCTAACCCTCCCCCTAGCCTGGGACAGTGGTGTAACAGTACAACATAAGAACGAACTATAAAAATCAGTTGAAAGCGGCTTAACTCATCAGATGGAAAAAAATACAAATACTACAAATACAAGTGGACGTGGCCGGGTACTTGTACCTGTCTGATTTATGTTATTCTTTTTTTTCATGCCAAACCATAATCATTATTTCATATTCTATGAATACTAAAAATTTCAATCATTTAATTACAAAAACAAAGTACAAACTTTAAGCCAAACATGAAGGATCTGGACTGAAACACTTTATGCAGACAGGGGTAGAGTTGGATGAAATGTTAAAACAACAAAACAAAACAAAAACAACATAAAAACCCTCCCGTTACATTTGTACCAATACAAATACTTACCTTTTTCGAGCTCATTGGTTTCCCAAAATATCGTATATTAATGATAAAACAAGATAACATTCTAACCGATATGACACGGATTCAATTATTGCGGCAGGTGTAAAAATAAATCTACAAATCAAACACAAACCAAACACCGCAAAAGTTAAAAGAACCGAATTTTCTTGTAATAAAAATCGAATGTTCCAGAAAGTCGGTTCATCATATTTTGCTGTTTTTGTTTCTACCTCTCGGATAGTAAAGGTATGCGTCATAAAAACAAAGTTGCATTCAATAAAGTATTACAGCAAAAAGGAAAAGATTGAAAGCACAGATAGAGCTTTATGATAAGTTGTAATTAAATAAATATATATATGCATAAAGGTAATTAACTCAATTAAATAATCACAATCATATCTAAACAAACAAACAAGAAGAAGTTAATGATTACAAATATTAACCTTTATATCATCCGAATCCTTCAAACTTACAAGGACAAGGATCCTTGAAATTTACCATTTGTCTATGAGGTTAAAATAAACACCATCATTCATTTATTATGTGTTTGCCATTTTGCAGATGCAAATGACTTGTCTATATAAAGTTTCGGCGAAAATATACATAATAAAAATGTTCTTCAACATCGTTATCAAAACATTGAAGATAAAAAACAATGTACATGTAAGGATTTCAAATGTGCAACGTCATGAATTCTGTGTTTTTCGACGATTATTTAAGTCAATTCTAGACATGTTTTGTTTGGTCTCCAGAATAATGTATGAACACATTGCCCAATTAGTTATAAACTACCAGCCTGTTAGATAATAGTATTGTCACATATTCAAGTATTCTTGAGGCTAAAAGCAAATCTTTTCTGTTATCATATGGCAGCTTACATGTTACTGCCAACAAAAACAAACACACCACAAGCTTTATTCAACATACATCACACTCAAAGGATCATTTCCAGAAAGTTTCAAAATTTCAGTAAAAGAACTGTGAAAAAGTATACCATTGACATTACAATTGGACACGAATTGTCATTTAAGTCTCCTGAAGGGGTCATCAAATTGTGTCATTTGAATTTATATTTTTGTCAATCTTGAATTTCGGATTATTTTTGTTGTATTCAATTTTTACCAAATATATGTGATATAGATTTCGAGACAACACACTGAGATAAGTCGAAAATCTTCATCTACAAACAAAAACTCATAAAGGGTCATCCCATGGTTTCGATAAAAATTTTGGCAATTAAGATCATAAAACCTTAAAAGATATATAATTTGATTAAGGAGTTCCAGATAAGGACCAATTGTGTCTTATGACTTCTGAAATATTTTGTAGTAATTATTTGCTGATTACTGGTTCACGATTTGTTCCAAAAAGGAGTAGCTGACATTCAGTTTTAGCGACAGTTGATCAATCTTGACATTTGAGTATTTAACTGCTGTCATAAAATCTATGACCGTTTTTGAGATTGTTTTTACGATTCCTCGCATTTCAGTCCTATGAATGTTTTGGGAAATGTGACCGTATAAATAAGAGTCTAGATAAATTGAGAGGAAAATATTCGATTATGGAAGAAGAATTGCAAACTACGACATTTGCTACCACTGGCCCTTAGAACCCAATGACATTACAAAACAAAGTTTGATATGGTTGAATATAAGGTTTGAATTTGATATCTGAAAATATAGATTTGTCACAGTTTCAGTGTATTAATTACCTCTGTGACGGTTCATTTTGATCTAGAGATGTCATTAGAGATATGTTTTACCCATACGCACATCTAATGTTTGTAAAAATGTGATTCAATGCTCCAAAGAAATTGTTTATCTTTTATAGCCTCTTTGACCTTTTCTGTCGATCTAATGACCCAATATGGCTCTTGCTTTTTTTTCCATGTGTGGTTTTGGTGGTTAGCCAGAGATTATAAGCTTGCGCAATACATGATATCAAGTTCAAAAGATAGAATCCGGAAACCCCAATTTCAGTCTAATGATAACTGTTGTGACCTTTCATTTTCTCGATACAAAACATTCTCTAGAGTTTCAAATTATGTCTGTCACTGTTAACATGACATTTGACTTGCTGATCCAAAATTCAAAAAGGGTCTACTTCTTTACAAGAAGGATTTTCTGCGTAAGTTACCTGAAAGATTTCCCTATATTAATATATTTTGGAACCAGAATGTCGTTCAAATTTTAGTTTATCATTTGCTGTTGATCTTTAATCTATTAAATAAAAAATTAAATTGTCTGGAAACCGACAGTTATATTTCTAGATGCCTGGACGTAATACAACATTTGAAAAGCCCAGTTTGACTTGGCTTCAAACTTGAATTAGTGTAAGACGTCTATCAAAGTCTGATGATTGTTGAAAAAAATATTACTGTATATGATTATGAAAAAAACATTTTTTTTCATAATCATATCGTTTAATCGACAACTAATATTTTATTCAGTGATACTGAATAAATAAATAAAAATGTATTATCCTGCATGATATATTAAAAAAAGTGTATAGTTCATCAAACTTGTCGGTACCCAGCCATAAGCACATGACAAAATATGTAAAAATGCTTCCGATAGATTTAGCAGACTTTTACTCAATATCTCAGTTTCACAATATCATAAATTAATGTGCAACTGAAATATAAAAACTTTACTTGTATTAAGATGTGTTTTTTTGTTTGAGGTTTAAACTGTGCATGTTCATGTTCGGGTTTAGGATATTTGTCATTAATGACCTAGGTCAAACAGACAACACAAGTGATTGGTTTTGTTTTTCCATTCATGGATGCAAAATTTGTTTTGTCTACATCATAAACAAACAGTTATGCTAAAGTTTAAAAGTTTTAATGTCTTACCATTTAATTTATACCATATGCCATCATCATAGTTTGCATTACATTTTATTCTATGAATTTCAATCCCGTTGGTACTCTTCACCTCTTCTTTGCTGACTTCTTCTTCAAATAACCTCTTACATAATGATGTTTTCCCAGTACCTTTCTTTCCGACAATTACCAAACGAATGTCCCTTTTTTTCTCAGAGCCTGACTCAAGTAGTTTCAGATATAAAGGAATAGACTTTTTGTTTGACATTAGTTTGATTTCAATAGGGACTATGTCATCTACAAATAGTAATTTCATATAATATAGAAATATCTCCATAAAGACAGACGAAATGTTATATGTTTATTTTTTAATGTCGTTTGAAACGGGTTTCTTGTAATTATGATGTATAGGAAATTATTGAATCAATGTATTCAATGCATGCATATATACTAAACTGGTCATGTAGGAAGTTTTTTATACATTTTTCAGGAAACCGTAACGTTTAATCGACAAATAATATTTCATTCAGTGATACTTGATCGCAAACAAATCAATTTTCAGTTTTGTGTATAAGTTCTCCGGAGTGTGACCTTGATTATCAATCTATAAAGCATCATGGAGCATATATATGTGTATTATCCATTCTTTTCAGTTGTTATTTTGACTTTGCCAAAACAGTTGTTCAATATAAGTTACTGTGTGAAATTGTTTGTTCAGAATAAATTGAAAGTATTTACCTTCCAGTGCTTGTTTGTTTACATTCTTTATATCACGGCTTCCCCTTGCACTTGTGTTGTGCGGTGGTCGAAGTTCTAACGGGCGGCGATAAAAGGAACGGGAAGACAATAATTCAATAGCAGTACACGTTTGAAGATTTTGATAAGATTAGGTATTTTTACAAAAATGTCCATGTAACAAGGTTTTATAGTGAAACTTACCAATTCACGTATATAAAATGCTTTTAACTTGTTTTTTATATTTAAAGTTTCACATGACTTTAAAGGAAGAAAATTAAAAGGATAGATGTGCATTTGTTAATAAAAAAATAATGGGTTATTTGGTAAACAAATATAACAGTTGTGACTTTGATGGAGAGTTGTTTCATTGGCACTCAATAATAGGTTATTTGGTAAACAAATATAACAATTGTGACTTGGATGAAGAGTTGTCTCATTGGCACTCATACCACTTCTTCTTATATCTATAACAGCTTAGTTAGTTGAATATGTACAATTGTCTTTTTCTCTCTGTTTTTATCGTATATGAATAACAAGGAATGAACTGTCACATGGATAAAAACCCGAGTTTGCTTTATTTTGATTTAGTTTTCTGACTTGTTTGAACTGCCGCATTTTTTTTTTTGTAATTTTCAATATATCAAGGACAATTACTAAACGCCAAAATCGAACTTGAACACTATGTTGTTATCAGTAGCAACTTATTAAAATTTTAAAAGCATTGGTTGAGTGGTTCGTTAGTCATTGCATGAAAATGACATTGCATGCCATTTTCCAAAAATACCATGAACCCTAACCCTCAACGGTAAAAGTGAAAATCTTCAATGTTGCACTTGACTTTTAAATTGTCTTCAGTAACAACACATTATTATTTGAAAACCGTTGGCACATGTAGACGGTTTCATAAGTTATTGCAAGGAAAACACATAAGGTGTCATTTACCAATTCATCAAGGACTATAACTCCTGTTAGTTGAAGAAAAAATCGTCAATATTGAACTTCACCTCTATGTCATTATCAGTATCAACACAAAAAAGAAAACTTTGTAAAACACATCAAATGTTTACCAAGTAAGGATAGTGAAACTTGAATTCAAAAATAATAAATAAGTACAAGCTTCAACTGTAGGCGTGTATTGCATCTGTCCAAAGGTTGTCGGTTTGGCATCTTCAGCCTGTTTTGACATGACAGTCTACAACAGTGAAAATCATGTACTGCATATAATTTATCTAAGATCTAGTGCTCTGGAATATTAGTTTGCTTCATTTGTATTTGTTTTCCATATAAGTACACTTTGAAATATAGTTTAAACAAGAAAATATTGTTTGAAACATTTTTAATCCTGTTTTCGAATAAACTATGATTTGAATATTGAAATTGTTTATTTAATATCGCTTTTAATGTTACCACGATAATTTGAATCTGTATGAGTAGCCATTCGTAAACCTGGCCCATGCTTCTGTTAGACCACAGTGCCTTGTACTTATATAATTTTATATAATCCAAGCGGTATACTACTGTTGCCTTTATTTTTCACCTTTTCACGACTTCTTCGAAAATGTCTACTGACATGATTAAAATCATGTGCCAGTAGACATTTTCGGAGAAGTCGTCAATACTGACACATACACAAAGACCAATATCATATGCTGACTTAAATCTAGAGAAGGCGTATACAAAAGTGAAAATGTTCTGAACTAATACATGTAATATAAATTGCATTATTTTAATTTTAAGTATAGGCCCATGGAAAAATCATTTTAAACTGTAAGTTGATAACAAATATTCCAACTTTTTAATAGTGAGATACGTTCGTTACTGTCTTATGAAAATCGAAACTTAAAAACGTGACTGTGCACTGCAAATAATTTACAATAGGATTGTTTTAGATATAAACCGTTATTTTGAATATAAATGAATTGTTTAAAAAAAAAATGTAAACGGTCTTTCACCTCCAAAACATCATTGATTGATTGATTAGTTGGTTTGTTGACTGGATAATTTTAATTTCTCAATTAGGGTCAGGTCGTCAAGCGGACCCGCTCGTGTATTTATAGTGCTAAGAGGAATATATTTTCTTTATTCATTTTACAGATAAACTAATTTCGAATCGCTGATCTCGAGTCTTCTTTCACTGCATTGACAGAAAAATAATGCTGTTGTTATATTACTTTGACAAAACGTTTATCGATTAATTTCAGAAAATACACTAATTGGAGCAGATTTTTGCAGGGATGGATTTCTATTTCAAAAGTTTGTACATTAGAATGATTGTGTGTTTAAAGTTAAATGTAGGGGACTGAAGGCAATATTCATTTCATAGACTGGTTAATTTATTTTTCGATAACTATAACTTTTTCTGAGAAGAAGCAATATGAAGTGAAAATTAAGAACATGACCTTGACCTTGGCCTCATTTTCTAAGTAGGTACATAAGGACCTCCAATAAAAGGAGTCTAGATTTATACGGCTTGCGGTTTATGAGTTAAAAAAAAAACATAACGACAAATTTAATTGGTAAAGGAAGATGACTCCTTGAACATGATACTGGATCGCTTCGATGAAAATCAGCCAAAATTTCTGAGGATGTAACGAACGAAAAGGAAAAAATGTCGTTATCTTTTTAGGTTACGGAGGAGATACAATAACAAGAAAAACAGTGTCTTACAATAAAAAGGTTTATGAAATTTTAATGAAAGGGTACATTTGCCCTGTTGTTCAGATCAGAAGTACCTATTTTATACTATAAATCTTCCGGGAACCAGTACGCTCTAATATGAACTTAAAAATAGGTTGAATTTTCAGCACAAGTCTGGAAAGGGTATAGTTTTGACATGAAATAACTACCGCTTTATTTGACCTTAAGACAAAGTAGCCATAAATGCTTGAAATTACAAAATTTAACATAGAAAGCAATTGGGCTATGAATTGGTGGTTTCATACCTATTACTGAAAGGCATGTGAAATTCAATTTTTAGAAATCATACCCATTACAATGAAAATTGGTCACATTTGTTGTCAGAAATCATGTAACATTATTTTTGTTTATGAAGCAATTTTGTTGGTGTCAAATAACAGCCCTCAAATTGCTACAATAAGGTATTTCAGCCTATTTTTTGTCATTTAGCATGCACACAGTTAAGATTTTACCTGAAGTTTAAATTTTTGCATTATCTAAGACTGAAACCAATGAAACCTGTATATTATGACTGGTCTATAGTATAAATAAAGTGAGTGTTCATATTTCATTTGGTTTCTTAGTGTATCATTTATTTAAAAGGAATTTGTTGTAAACTTATATAGGAATTCCAAATTTTCACTTGAAATGCATTTTATAACCAGTTGAGCAAGTTGTCTAGCTGGGAGATACATAAATTGCTCTTGTTGATCCCTGTTGATGCATAAAAGTATGGTTTTTACCAAATCACTCTTCTTTTTCAACATGTAGAAAAAAAAAGGGGGGGGGGCATAAGTATCAATTAAATTTTGTGTTTGGACCACTGTATTTATATTTAAAGAAGAATCTCTAATAAAAATAAGACATATAGATATGAACGCTGTTATTGTTGTAGATATTAACAAATAAGAACTGGTAAACATTGAAAAAGTGTCATATCTGTCACTATTAGTATCCATATGGAGTTTTCTTTGAATAACGCATATGAAACTTCCAGTCCAATTTGAGCTTAAATTCAGTGATATAGTGTTGAGACAACAGCTTAATAGGTTTTTCTATGCTAGAAATAGACCATAGAAGGAAATTAAGTCAAGCAGAAGTCAATATAACAAGTTTGGTATTGTTATAGGTGTAGAACCACTAACTCAGGCCCGAAAAGAACATACAAGAAAGTGGTACATATGTGAAACAAAATAGTTCCTACTCATAGTGTATTTTTGTCAATAGCTTAAATATTTGGGTAGTTGTAGTATGACATGAAAGCTTGGGGACTTGGGATCACTGTAGAACCCTTGTTGAAAGTTTCTTTTGAATAATAAAGAAGTATATGAAATTTTAATGAGAGGGTACATTTGGCCTGTTGTTCAGATCAGAAGTACCTGTGTTTGTACTATCAAACTTCCGGGAACCAGTACGCTCTAATATGAACGTACAGGTATGTTGAATTTTTCAGCACAAATCAGGAAAAGGTATAGTTTTGACATGAAATAACTGCCACTGTACTTGAACTGAAGACAAAGTAGCCATTATTGCTTGAAATTGCATAATATTACATAGAAAGCAATGGAGCTATGAATTAGTGGTTTTATATCTAAATGATGAAATATTTTGATGAGATAGATACAACCTACGTTGTCAATCAGACCTGGATTCTTTTAATGATCTATTCAAGAATGTTCAGTTACAATCTTTACAATTTTGCAGAAATCTCAAAACCTTTGATTTTGAGTTTACCTATGTTAAATTGAAAAATGTGCTTTTCGGTGAAATGCGAAAAGTAGATACAAGTTTTAGCTCATGACAACAAATGAAAAACCAATAAAAATGTCAATTGTTCTTGAACAATTGAGAGGTCTTTCCTTTTCATTATATAAAATATATGTTTCGATAGGCGTAGAATGCATTGAAAAGCTCTAAAACACACACAAAACCCTTAAAATATGGTCAAAAACACATAATTCGGAATTTGGGTCATGACCTTGACTTTTGACCTTATGACCTTTGTCAAGGTCATTGGTCCACAATGTCGTAACAAAAGACCCCATGGGTCTAGGACCTTTGGTTCATGAGTTAAAGTTTATTTTGTCTTTTCTAAAACAGTAAACAGGGGTTATGCCCCTTACAGATAGGTCAAATCTCTTCGGTCAAAATGTAAAAAAGTTGCGCCTTAGTCACTTAAACGTTTTTCACTATTTACTATTTTTGTAAGTATAATCGTTTTTGAGATATCGAATATAAAGTTGTAAGGTCAAAGGTCAAGGTCAACCTTAAAAAGCTTTAAAAGACACTAAAAATCCCTTAAATAAGGTCAAAAACACATAATTCACTATCTGGGACATGACCTTGACCTTTAACCTTGTGAACTTTGTCAAGGTCATTGGTCCCAAATGTCATTGTTGAAGACCCCATGGATCTAGGACCTTTGGTTATATAGTAAAAGCTGAATTTGTCTTTTCAGAAACCTAAAACAGGGGTTATGCCCCTTACATAAAGGTCAAATCTCTTCGGTCAAAATGTAACAAATTTGCGCGTTAATGACCAAAACATTTTCCACTATTCAAAAC